GTCGTGGCTGGCGCCCGATTCGCGGGGCCCCCCTCGGATCGCTTCCAGTGCCGCGTTGACCTTGGAGCAAGCCCTGAACGCCGCCTCTTTCATCGCCGTCGTGACTGCAACAGGTTGCGCCCAACCTTCGCGCGGAGGCGCGGGGGCCGCGCGCGGGCCGCCCGCGGCCTCGCCGAAAGACGTCGTCGGGATGCCGAACTTCTGAGGAGCGATCACGTCCGGGGCCGGGCCGATCGCCGCGCCCGCGGCCCTCGGCGCGCCCAAGCCGAGTGGCAGCTGCCAAACCGAATCCTCGATCGCCGAGGGCGCGAGGAACGCGTCGACGCCGGAAGCAATGACGGGGGCCGTCCACTCCTCCGTCGACGCCTGCTTCTCACCGTGTCCAAAACCGTAGGCCGCGAACTGCTCCTCCTTCTGGGTGCTCTGCTCGGTCCCCAGCTTCCGGCAATGGTCCTCCGGCCGATTGGCGTGCGCCTCGCCCGCCACGGTGCCGCTGCAGGCGGAGACCGGCGCCCCCTTGTCGCCCTTGCCGCCAATGGGCGCCGTGGACAGCGGGACCCCCCTACTTCGGGCGCCGCAGACATCTCCTTCTCCGCAGACGTCTGCGCAGTCAAGAGGGCCTCGAACGTGGCAAGCTCAGCCGCCACCGTCGCGTCATTTCATTGGCCTCGGTCGCTTTCAGGAAGATCCACCGCCGGTGCCGCCGCCATCGCGTCTCTGGGCTTGGGCCGGCCCTGCTGCTGCTTCTTCGCCTGATCGGCCTTCCACCCTTTCTGTTTCGGGCACCGGGCATCTCCGGCCCAGTGGCCCGTCTGCTCACAAGCGTAGCACTCCGTCGCCTTACTATCGCTGCCGTTGCACTTGCCAGCGCGGCGACGGAGGTCATCAAGCCTGCTGCCGCTGGCGCCCTTGGAACTGCCCTTGCCACCGATCTTCTGGCCCTTACGCAGCTCCTTCAGGCGCTTCCTGCTCCCCCTCCATCATGGGCTCCGCGCAGCTCTCGAGCTCCTGGTTTCCAGGGCCAACTCTGGGTCATTCTCGGCCTCCTCGAGCATAGTCGCGAGCGCCCCCATCTCGGTCGCAAGGATGCCGTCGCGATCAACCTCAAGGGCCTCCAGCGTCTCCTCGACCGGCAGGTCCCCCCCGCCGCCCCCGTTCACCTCCAGCTTCAGCGCCAAGGCTTCGAGATCGCCATCCTCGAGCTGGCTGGCGCCATCGAAGTCCTCCGCGATGTTCGCCAACTTGCACTTCCTCACCATCTCCTTCTTCAGCAGGAACCTCGAAGGAGACTGCCTGTGCTTGTCAACCATCCGGTCGCGGCGCTCGTTACTGTGAAGCGTGGGCAACACTCTGAGCCACGCAGAATTCTACATCCTTGAGCTCCATTCTCCCACCCGTCGAGGTCATCAACCTGCTCTTCTGGGCGTCCGCGAGCCGGGTGTATTCGATCAACCACCAGCCCGCCGTGCGCGGGGGTAGGGCCACGTTCTCTTGGTCGAGCTGGCTTCGCGCTTCGCCAAACTTGATCATCCAGGACTTCGCGTCCTCTCCTGCACGCCTGTGCAGCGTCTTGTAAAAATACGTCATCACCTGGCCACGTTGGGTTGGCTCGTCCCCCCCCATCGTCGGCAGCACCTCCACCATGCGACTGGTGCCCGCCATGTAGTCGGGCTGCTCCCAGTGCCCGTCCTCCTCACCGTCAGCATCGTCCCCGACTCTCTTCACGCCCTGCTCGAGCCGCATCCTCCACCCACGTCCAGGGCTTGCCGCGCAGCTCCTCCATCGGGATCGATTCGCCTAGAGTCTTCGCCCGCCCGGTCGAGCACCTCACCATGCGTGCTGCCACCGACCAGCTCACGCCCAAGTTGATACCGTCAATCCACAGGGCATCGTCCTTACGGCACCTTTTCCAGCGAGACGCGCTGCCGTCCCACGCGGGGATGCCCTCGAGATCTCGGCTCCACTGCGGCCCGGCCGCGGCGTACGTCGTCGATGAGCGATACCACCCGCCGGTGACGTGGGAACCGCCATAGCTTGTAGGAGGCAGCGCGTCTGGACTGAACACGCTTGTGCTCACGGCGGGCCCTCTCTCCGTAGACGGCGTCGCTCTGCCAAGCGTCATCGTCCTGATCGTGATCACGAACTCGTCGTAAAAGCCGTCGTCCCTGTCAATTGCTTCGCGCAGTCGAAGTTCCCAACCAGCAGTCGTGAAGGGGCCCTGGGACACACAAATAAATACACACAAATAAAAATATCCCCCATACTTTCACATATTTTCTGGGTTTCTGTCTTCCCCCCCACTTCCAATATTTTCCGATGTTTTCCTGGGAGTGGACGATTAATTGTGTCTGTGTGTTTTTTCTCCTCCTGAAGTCAGCACAATTGACCTGGCGCGCTTCAGCGCTCGGCTACAACTGCGGAACCGGTGGGTTCAGGCGATCCTCCCCCCCCAGCTCCCCAGCGGCCTGGGGCGCGTCAGCGCTTAGGGAAGATTGCGCTCTTTTGTCGGTGTCCACCAACCCAGCACAAAGAGCCTCAAGCCGGCGTGCATCAGAAATGGCAGCGGGCGAGAACATTAAGATACAACGCGCGTGGAGAGAGGGGTAAGTAGGGGCAAGCGGGGACAGGGGACGAATCTGACGCCACAAGCCGTTCAGACGAGCAAGAAACGCGTTTTTGTCAACACGACGTGGCTTCCAGGACACTTTTGCGGTCGTAGTGATGCTGGCCTTCATGATCGGGCGCGCGGACTTTCTCGGAACGAGTGGGGAGGCGATTGCCGCTTTGAATGCTTTCGCTGCGCTTCTTTTTCTCCGTGCTGGAGGCGTTATGGGCACGTTCGTCGCTTCTTCCTGTGCCTGTACTTGCTCTTCACGGACGTTGCCCCTTGTTGTTGGGTCTCTGATCGTGGATGCCATCCTCCCTTCACCATATTCTACCCCTCCGTCTCCGCATCCATGATCCCCCTCCCTCCCGTCCTCCCCCTCACGCTCCTCCTTCTCAAACTCCCTCTCCTCCTCCTCCTCCTCCTCCTCCTCCTCGTCCTTTTCCTTCTCCTCATGTTCTTCCTCTTCCCCTTCCCTGTGGGGCAGGTCCGCTACCACGCTAAGCCGCGGCCAGTGCGAGTGGGGGGCCCCTGTTCTGTCTTGGCCTGTGCCCGATGCGAAAGGCAGAGCTGTCAGAAGAAGTCTGTGCCCAATGCGAGGTATGGGGTACGCGAGGAACGCAAGATGAAAACGACATCGGATTGGGGCAGATCGGCAACCTGCGAGAGAGCCGGCGGAATGTGTATCGGCTGACGCGACTTATCCAGAATGCTCTGGAACTCTGGAACGCTTTGGAAAGATTTTTGACGCTCTGGAACGATGACTGGATCCCTGGTGGGTAGATCCTGCCAGTGGCTTCAGCGCAACGGCGGCATCGCTTCTGATTATCACCCGTCTTCTTCCGACGTACGTGGGTCCAGTGGATCGCATGGTGACGAAGGTACACAGGAGGAGGAACACCAACACCGTTTTCCTACAACGCATCGGTCGATACCAGATCGCCAGAAAGAAGAAATCGGATCGGATCCATCTCGCATCGGGCCGGGCGAGATCGGTGTCGAATCGAAATTCGAAATCGGCCCTGTCCTCCTTCATCCTCCTCCCCCTCCGCCTTCCCTCCCTCCCTCCCTCCCTCCCTCCCTTCGTGTTTCTTTCTCCTCCTTCTCGTCCTCCTCCTCCTTCTCCTCCTGCCCTCTCTCCCTTCCTCTCCCTCCCTCCCTTCCTTCCTTCCTTCCGTCCTCCCCCTCCTCCTCCTTCCTTCCCACCCTACCTCCCTTCCTCCCTTCCTTCTTTCGTCCTCCTCCTCACGCTTCCTCCCTCTTCCCTGATGCTGTCGGCCGTGCCGTGACTGGGTCACACCGAGGCCGTTTGGGCGCCCTGGACGGGGGGATCCGACAAGGAAGGTAATCTAGCAAAGTGGCAGAGGGAGAACAAGATAGAGGAAGGAGCAACAACGAGAGAAGGGTAATTAGCGGTATGGTTACCTGTTCCTCCTCTGGGCGTCTCCTCCTCCTCCTCCTCCTCGGATCGGGCTGGCCGAAACCGATTTCGAATCGTATAGGTCGGAGCAAAGGGGGGGGCCTGCAAAGACGGGGGCCGAACGAACGGCAGAGGCGCGGCCAGCGGGGGGCCACGGGCGGCCCCCGAGCGGGGAAGACACGCACATCAAAACATCTCGGGCTGGGGAGGAGGGTGAAGACACATTATTTCTGCGACCCGCGACCATGAAACACGACGATTGGCAAAATACTGTGAGGGGGGGGTCGGTGAACACATAGTTTTCGAATCTTCGGCTTCCGCTTCGCTTGGGCTTCGTCTGGCCCGCCGACTGTCAGGCGCACGTCTGAGGAAGGCTGGAGGAACCAATTGCCAAGTAGTTTCCTGGCCGGGGGGGGCGTTTTCCTTCTCCTCCACCACCTCGTCATCATCACCATGACCATGGCCACCATCCTCATCCTCATCCTCATCATCCTCATCACCACCAGCATCATCACCATCACCATCACCATCACCATCACCATCACCATCACCATCACCATCACCATCACCATCACCATCATCACCATCATCATCATCATCATCATCATCATCATCATCATCATCATCATCATCATCATCATCATCGTCGTCATCGTCGTCATCGTCGTCATCGTCATCATCGTCATCAACATCGGCATCAGCATCGTCATCCTGGACGGTCCTCGGAAATTATTTAATCATCGCTAACGCCAATAATGGGCCCCGCCCCCCTGCTCCCCCCTCCCATCGTCACTTGACGATTCGCGTGACGTGCCCCCCCTTCCCTGTCAAACCCAGCATCGCTGGTGGATGGACAAAAACTGCGGAGGGAGGGAAGGAAGGGAAAGGAACGGGGGAGGGGGGAGACGCCGCCGGATCGGAACAGGCCCTGCTGCGAATGACAAGTGCGCTGCCCGACGGGGAAGGCGAGAGGGCCTCCGGCAGCAGCCGGCCCGTGAGCAGCACGTGGAGCACCACCCCTGCGCTCCTGGAGAAGGGCCCGCAGCGGCAAAGGCTCCTCCTTCTCCTCCTCCTTTGCCCCCTCCTCCCCCCCCCTCCCCCTCTGCCTCCTCCTCCCTCCTCCCTCCTCCCTCCTCTCCTCCTCCTCCTCCTCCTCCCCCTGGAATGACAAGTGGCTGTTCCCCTGCCAGGCCTTTTCTTTTCCCGAGCAACGCTGCACCACCCCTCGCCCTCCCTCTGGGCAGCGGGAAGGCCTCCTTCTCTCCTAAGCCCCCACCCTGAATTGATTCTTGCCACCCACCCCCCACCCCCCTCCTGGCCGGCTTCCCACGCCCGCCTCCCTCACCTCAAAAGCATCCAATAAAAACGCCGGAATTGATAATCCAATCCACGTGCCCACCCGCCTCCACGATCCACGCCGCTGCCGTGGACCCGGCCCTCGGCGACCGTCATCGCAATGCGCCACTAAAACTGCCTGGCTCAAGCGGCGGCCCGGCGGCAGCTCGTACTCTTCATTCCACGAGTTCCTGGCGTCCAGGGTGAAGTTGGCGATGTGGTCAGCCTTCGCTTTGTGGTTGCGGTTTTTCCACACCACGGGATCCCGGTGGTTCTGCTGAGGCAGCCCTCCGCTCTCTGGTAAGGCTTCAGATTGCGATCAGAGTCCCCCCCCAAGTAATCCTCGCTGGCCTCAACAGGCCCCCTGGAGCCGCCTCAAGCGGCGCCCCTGGCGCTCCGTGCCACAGGGTGTTGAGACCGCCCCAGACTGCTCGGGGTACCTCTGAAGGCCAGCTGGGGACTACTCGGGGGGCCTGTTGAGGCCAGCCAGGACAATCTGGCGAAGCCGTCTGTGCGCAACCTGGGTCCTTACCACCGCCCTCCTTCTGTCGCTGCCGTTCCGCCACCGAAAGCTTCCAAACAACCGCACGTACAGGATTCACTTCCCAAGTTGCCGTGCGCGCGCTGAGCGTATACGGATACGCCTCCTCTTCCCCCTCCTCCTCCTCCTCCTCCTCCTCCTCCTCCTCCTCCTCCTCCTCCTCCTCCTCACCCTCAACCTAGCACCGCGCACGGACGGAGCGGGCAACGAGGGGAATGGGAGAGAGGGGGGGAAGTAGAGGGTACACAGAACTCAAACGTCTTGAACAACAGCAGGACGGAGGTGCTCAATCGTTTGCGACCTGTGTGGGCCAATTTCGATGCCCACGACCACTCAAAAACGACTCGGGATGAGCAACAACGGCCCGTGGAAAAAAGGGTCGGGACTTCTGGGGCCCCCGCGCTGCGCACATCAAGATATCGGATGTCTGGGTGGAGTCGGAGGGGGCTGAAGGCGGCCATGGAGTTTGAACTGGTTGGGACCCTCGAGAATGTGTCACGAGGAAGGGATGAAGCCAAAGCCGCTCAAAATCCCCCCCCACCCCTCACGGGGTCAATTTGGTGCACTTGTTTCATCCCAGATCAGTTTTCGACAGCCCTGGAGGCCGAAAAGGGGCCCCGGAGACAGAGAATGGCAAGAACCCTTCCTGACCACAGAACCTCGAATTTGCCCGCCTTTCCAGCTCGCCAGAACCAGTTCTGGGCCACCTCAGACCCCCAGACGGCTCCAAGTCAGGACTTCTGGGGCCCCCGTATGGAACACAAAACCACCGGATGTCCAGATGAAGTGGGAGGTTGTTTGATGGGAGCAGTCGCACATTGAGCTGCTTCACAAGGAGCCACAGCGCAGGCGGGAGGCGGAGCAGCCAGAGGAAGCGGCGGCCGCGGCAGGAGCGCGAGATCACGAAGGGGAGGAGCGGGGGAGGGGGGGGGGGCAACTGCTGCGAGAAGAAAATTGTGCCGCATCTTCGCGCCGCGATCCGCGTCGAATCCGTGTCGAATCCAGGTCCAGCGAGTCGAGTCCGTGTCGAATCCGCGTCGAACCCACGTCGGAGTGCAAGAAAAGACCGCCATTTACAGGACAGGAGAGGTCCCCCGAATATGCAAAATAAGAAAAGGACGGGCACGGCAGGGTCGAGACTTCAGGGGGCCCCTTCTTGGACACTTCAAGACATGGGATGTCTGGGTGGGGTGGGAGGGGTTGGAAGCGGCCAGGGGGTTTGAACTGGTTGGGACCATAGAAAATCTGTCAGGGGGGGAGCAACAACGCTCAAAATGGGTCCCTGGACCCCGTCCTGGGATCCACCTGGTGCAGTTTCTCACCCCAGATCCGTTTTCGGGAGCCCTGCATGAAACACATCAAACCATCGGATGTCTGGGCAGGGTGGCCGTACCTGGAGCTGCTGCACACAGAGCTGCATGCGCCAGCGGAGAAAGCGGAGCAGTGGAGGAAATGGCGGCCGCTGCCACGCGCGAGAGGCCACGGACGGACGGGCCGGGGGAGGGCCGAGGCGGGTGCCGCAGGGAGAAGGGAAGGCACGGCCCGAGACCCCGACGTCACTTTTGTTTCCTAGGGCTCCCAACTTCGCGCTTCGCGCTGCGCGAAGCGCGAAGCGCGAATAACTTCGCGCTCTCGCGCCGCCCTCCCAAAGGGAGAATAGGAGGACGAGGAGGAGGGGGAGAAGGAACGAGGACCGCGAAGCGCGAAGCGCGAATAACTTCGCGCCCTCGAGGGAGCCCTTGTGTTTCCTAACGCCCAACGTCGATCCCCAGAGGTCTCGACCCGCTCTCCAGGACCATGTGCTTCCTCCCGAGCCGTTCTTCGACGGCCCCGAGGCCTGGTGAGGGCCCCCAGAAGCCGCCACGTGACGACAGAGCTCCCGCCGTGATCCTTGGATGCCTCGAGGGGGCCCCGCGGGGGCAAAGCCCTCGTGTGCCCCGCCCTCGCCCCTGCGAACAGCGCCGACGTCGTCGTCGTCGTCGTCGTCGTCGTCGTCGTCGTCGTCGTCGTGGGGACGGGGGCGACGAGGGCGAGGGCTGCGGCGGCGGCAGCGGCGAGGGCAGGCGAGCGGCCCCCAGCAGGCAGGCGGGCCCCCCCGGCGGCTCCACAGGTCCACGGCCCGGTGCGCCCGCGCGCCGTAGCGCGCCTCGGCCGCCCGGGGGCGCCGCCGCACCGCCACCGGCGAAGGGGGGCAACAGTGAAGGGGCCCACAAACACATAAATAAATACACACAAATAAAAGCATTCCCCATATTTTCCCATGTTTTCTGGGTTCTTGTCTTCCCCCCCACTTCCCATATTTTCGCATATTTTCTGGGGGGCGACGATTCATTGTGTCTGTGTGTTTCTTTCCCTCCTGCAACAGGCGGCGACTCCGGAGGCGTGGCCTGCAGAGGGTGCGACCTGCAAGCGGCACCCCTGGGGGCTCCCCGGGGGGGCAGGCAGGAGCCTCGACGTGGAGTTCTCGGCCGCGCCCCGAGGAGGCCCGACGAGGACAGTCTCGTGCCCCCCCAGGCCCCAGCGGCGCCGATCGCAAACCACACCCCGGCGTAACCGCACCCTTGTAGTCGCCGAGATAGGCGGGGACGCGACTTGTTCGGCTGCACGTAAGAGTGACCCTTGGGTGCGCGGCTTTTGTGGGGGCGCGCGAGGAGGCGAAAACCGAGCGCGAAGGCCGCTGCTATCGCACTGCAGTCAGCGATCGGGGGGTCCCAGTGGGCCCGCACCAAAGGTCAAGGGTCACTCTTACGCGTAATCGACTTGTGCAAGCCTTTCCCGCCAACAAGCTGGCCCAGCACAAGATCGTGGAGCGGGAGTGGTGACGTGTACAAGAATGTCACCCCCTGGGGACACGATTTGTTGCACACATCTTCCGCAAATAAGATGGTCTGGCACGAAGCACGCGCGCGGGGGCGGTGGGCACACATCGGCCCCCCAATATGGGGGGACCTGGCTCAAGGGGGAGAACATCAACCTGGAAACAGCGCTACATTGCCAACCGATCAGCGATCCAAGAGGTTACCAAGACGGCCCCAAGAAGGTTCCACAGACCTCCAAACCGTCCCTAAAAATTCAAAGAGGGACACACAACTGCCCAGAGGCCCTCAAGACGGCCTCCGAAGGCCAAGAGGTCCGGTAGAGGCGGGGGCCCACAAGAGGCCCTTACGGCGCCCCACCCAGGAGGCCCCCGAGAGGCCTCAGGAAGCCCTCAAAAGACCCTTCAGAGCCGCCCGAGAGGCTCCCAGGAAGACCCCAGGAAGCTACAAGACGGCAGCAAGCGCGGAGGACGGGCCGGCGGCGACCAGGGACTGCCAGTATCAAGCCCGAGTCTGAACCTGGCGCCCAACTGGGTCCGGCGGGCCCGGACCACAGATCGCGTGAGCTGGGATGCCTACGGAAGCCTGCGGCTGCCAAAGGTACAGAATGGCCCGCCCGCGACAGTTGGACATCCTCTGCAACCATATGCGGAACGGCTTCACTCTGCAAAATGCCCCCTGCTCCAAAATCTGCCAATGTGCTTGCCGTGCAGGGGCAGGAGCGCCCCTGCTCATTGAAGGCTGCATTCCATCGATCTGCGGCTGCTGGCGAAGCAAATGTCAAGGCCCGCCTCCCCTGAGCTCCGACGTCTCGGGGAAATCACGACCAAAGCCCTAAACCCCATCTTCCTTCGCGGGAAACTGCGACAACAACCGTAATCCCTGCCTTCCTGTGCCACCCCTCGAGCTGGATCGATCCGCGATGGCTGCGGGGCCCGGACCCGGGCGATGAAACACCCGTTGTGAAAAAATGCGACGCCCGGATCTCAGGGTCCGTCGCCCCTCTAATCCGCCGATCCTTTGGGGTTCATCGGCGTGTGAGATCTCCCCCTCCCCAAACCCCTCCCCCGGGAACCCAGTCCAGTCGATTTGGAAGGGGGAGGGGGGGTCCGGCCAAATTCCCCGATTCCCCCGATTCCCCCGGGGGGTCATCCGCTCCCGAAAATCCTGCAAGGACTCCTCCGGTGGCCTCGAAATGGCCCCGGAACGCCAAACGAGCGCTCCAAGACGCCCAAGGTGGCTCAAAGACGGGCTACGAGGCCTCTTAGACGGCACAAGAGGCCCCCACGAGGCCCCAAGAGGCCTCCAAGATGCGTCCCAAGAGGGTCCCTAGACGCAACAATTTGGCCATTCCCTCCGTTAAACGTATATTTTTCACAAGTTCGCCTGCTGGGTTTTCCGATGTTCCCAGACGGCCCAAGAGGCCCCCAAGACCGCCCCAAGACGGACCAAAAAGCTTCAAGAGGGTCCCAAAATAGCCCAAGAGGGCCCCAAGACGGGCCAACAGGCGTCCAAGACGGCCCAAGAGGGCCCCGAAAACGGCCCCAAGAGTGCTCCAGGAGCGCTCCGAGTGGCCTCCAAGACAGCTCAATATGGTCCCAGACGGCCCAAGAGCGATCAAAGACACCGAAAGCGGCCTCCAGACGGCCCAAGATGCCCCCAAGAGGCCCCAAGAGGCATCCAAGATGCACCCCAAGAGGGCCTCTAGACGCAAAAAATTGGCCCGTTCCCTTCGTAAAACGTATTTTCTTTTCACAAATTCGCGCTCCCGGACGGCCCAAGAGGCCCCCAAGACCGCACCAAGACGGTCCAAAAAACTTTCAAGAGGGCCCCAAGACAGCCCAACAGGGCGCCAAGACGGCTCAAGAGGCGCCGAAGACGGCCCAAGATAGCCCCGAAGACGGCCCCAAGAGCGCTCCAGGAGCGCTCCAAGTGGCTTCCCAGAGAGCTCAACATGGTCCCACACGGTCCAAAAGCGATCGAAGACACCCGAGATGGCCTCCAGCTGTCCCAAGACGCCCCCAAGGGGCCTCAAATATGCGCCCCAAGAGGGTCCCTAGACGCAACAAAATGCTCCTTTCCTTTGTAAAACGTATATTTTTTTTCACAAATTCGCCTCGTGGGTTTTCCGACGCTCCAAGGCGGCCCAAGAGGCCCCGAAGACCGCCCCAAGACGGCCCAAGAGGCCCCCTAGACGGCCCATGATGGCCCCAAGACGGCCCAAGAGGTCCCCAAGACGGCCCAAGAAGGCTCCGAGACGGCACCAAGAGGGGCCCAAGAGGGCAACCAAAAAATAAAAAATCTAGCTTTCCGCCCCCGCGAGCCCCAGGGGGCCCCAAGAGTGCCCCAAGAGGCCGCCAGAGGCCCCCAAGAGGCCGCCAAGACGCCCCAAGGAGCCCCCAAGAGGGCCCCGGGAGGCCTCCGAAAGACCCCCAGACGCTTCCGCATTGCGAGCCGTCGAGCCAACTGCAATGCACTCCGCGCGTGCAGCCTTGCTCTTCCTCGCGACGTGCTCACAATCTTGCTCGGCGCTAATGTGCTGCTGCTACCCGAACTGTTTCGTGCGCGCTGCGAACGTCAACAGCCTCTTCACCCGTTTCGACTCATCTGCCACATCTTTCGCGGTGATGTTTCGCTGATCACAGCTTCCGCACGCTACTCTTGCTCCTTTCGTCTTCCGGTGCTCCTCCACTTGGTTGAGAGTCGAAAGGCCGACCTCCCAGAATGACGCCCCGCACCAGGGTGCACAGCACGCAAGGCGCTCGCAAAACACGCCCCAGACCACCGGCATCACGCAAACATTTGGGCCCCCTACGTATCTGCCACCACCCGCGCGCGACACCGCACCCTCACACAAGACGCCGCTGGCCAGAAACTCCTGGTCACAGAAGGGGTCGGCGGATGTGGCGTAAGCCTGTAGAATCTAAGGGGGAACGTTATGGGGGGGACTGGCTGATGATGGGGGACATCGAGCTGGAATCGGCGATACATCACCGATAAATAAGAAATGAACCCCCGATGGCAAATCCGCGCGCTCCTGGGCAGGGGGTGGGCTTTCGGGCCCCTGACGACGATGAATGGGTGGATGGGCGATCGATGCATTCCCCCTAGAGCCTGTCCCCCCTTACCTCGGGGGCAACGTTATGAGGGTATAGGCTCAAGGTGCATGCATCGACCTGACCCCCAATCGCCCTTTGATCGCCAATAGGGCCCGATAGCCCACCACGCCGAGGACCGCGCAGGGCTTGCCATCGGGAGCCTATCGCCGATCTATCGGCGATGCATCGACGACTCCAGCTCGATGTTCCCCCGCTGAGCCAGTCCGCTCCTACCGTTGCCTCTCACTGACGCGAACGGTCCACCCCCCGCCCAGCCTCCGGCGCAAGGTACGGCTCTGTGCCTTCCAGCTCGTCGCAGAGGTCGCCGGCGCGCAGCGCGATGCCGAAGTCGATGAGCTTGGCGGACGGGGCGCCGCCTCCTCGCGGCAAGGCCGCCAGGCCGCCAGGCCGCCGCCGGCCAATGGCGGCATGCAGGTGGCCGCGGGGGCAGCCGCAGGCAGCCGATTGCCGCGGCGGCCGCCGAAGGGCCACGAGGGGCGCCGGAGGCCACCGAGGGCCGCCGAGGGCCGCCGAGGCCGCCGAGCGCTCTCTGAGCCGCCGACGGCCGCCGAGGGCCGGCGGCGAGGGCCGCCGATGGCCGCTGCCGCCGGAGGCCGCCGAGGGCGATGTATCAAGCAGGCACTTTGCCTAAAAGGCCCATCTGCCCACAATGCGAGCTCCGCCTGAACCCCCCCTCAGTTTTGGCCCGCGGGATACACGCAACGAATGGTGCTTGGAATCTTGGTCCGTTCATCCCCCTCGTCAACATCCTCTCCTCCTCCCTCCTCTTCCTCATTCCTTATGCATATTCCTCCCTCCTCCGCGCGCGCACCAGCGCGCGCGGAGGGGCGGCCCCCCCCCCACACGGAGCATCCAGAAACATGACATGGGCGCGGGGCGGATCAGCATTCTTCGGTCTGGAACTTTTGGCCAGCGGTGTCGCCACAGCGGCCCTGGCGACACTCGATCCATTCTGTGGGGCGGGAAGGTCAGAAAAACGCGGGGTTGGGCGGGTTCAAGGGCGCACCCTGCGAACGCCCAGATCAAGGCAGGAAGCTTCAAAGGCTAACTACTTTTCTGAATACAATTGCTTTTTTGTTCAAAGCCATATTTGCCACGCGCTTTTTCCCAAACGTAATTTTAAGAAAAACTGTTGCACGCTGTTCGTTGACGAAAATAATGGCTGGAAGACCGCATTGCTTGCAACTGCCACGCAAGGTACTTGCAGGCTCGGGTGCTTCAACTGTCCAGCTTGACGCGGCCTTCGGGGGGTCTCCGCGAGCCCCAGGGCGCAACAAGATAGGCTCAGACAGCCCCGACGACGGACCCCAGAAACTTCAGAGGTTCTCCAAGCGTCCAACGCCAGACCCCACAAGACCGGACAGCACCCGGAGAATTCTGATGGAGCATTGATTAACAACACGGGCAGCCGCAAACACTAAGCAGCAACGATACGCAGCAATTATCCACCGAAATGATACTGAACGTCAGCGACCACAATCATCCAGTAGCCAGTGGGCAGCACGAACTATCGTAGCATCAGCACGCACCAGCAGCCTACACCGATAGACAGCCTAGCCCAACGCAGGAGGAAAACGCAGCCAGATACAGGCAGGAACAAATGGAAGACGTGAGGCGATGTAGAAGTAGATAATGGCTTCTCCTCCCCGGGCGTCGACGCCATTGAGCCTACAAGGGTTTTTGATGTGCTCGCTCCCTGCTCGCTCTGACACGCTCCTCTTATACTCGGGAGGGGGGGGGGGGAAACGAAGCGCATCGCAATAACTCGGCTGAAGGTGCGACTCCCGTTTCAATGCAAAACCGGTATTCGGTGCACGCCCAACGAATTCGGATTCGAGAGCTGTCTTATCCCGCCGGAGGCAGCTGTCGGCCGCTCGTCCTACGCCTTAGGTGTAGCCCACCAGGGTGTGCAGCAGCTTGTCGCCAAACGCGCTGACATAAGCAGGCATAGTTCAGCTTGCGGGTGGCTTACCTCAAATGAGCGACCACTGATCGGCAACTCAACTTAGACAGCAACACGCGCGAACGCTGGGCGACGCAGGGGGTAGGCAGCACGAGCCTGCGACCTGGTGTCTGGCGTCAGGCTGCGTGGCCAGCAGGTAGGCCACAAACTAATATGAGTACCCAGTGTTGGGCGAGCCTGCGTCTGGGCGCCTGGCATCAGGCTGCGTGGCCAGCGATCAGGTCACAACAAACGATCGATGCCGGATATTGGGCGCTTGCCGCCTTGCATCAGACAAGGTGCGTGAACGCCCGTGGCCGGGCGCCCGTTGCCAGGCTAACCAGCGCGTGGTCCGCAGCCCCGCGAAGGGCCAGCTCATTGCCGCGCGCGACCTGTAGTGCTACGATGTGGCACAGACTTCTGCGCACCACCCTGAGTGGACTGATGCCCTGACGTCGCGTGCAGCAACAACTCGTGATCATTGCTGCCTGTAGTCTTTCCGCCTGCTGTCATGTCGCGCGTGTCACACCACTGAGCACGATGTATACGATTCCTCTCAATCATCTGTCTGGCCGAACGAATGTGTCTATAGAACAACGCGTTCCACTACTCGCAAAGTCACTGTTCGCAAATTGCCCGGATCCGCCGCGAGGGATCTACGATAAATTCAATCGAAGCAGACATGTGTTTCTTTCGGACGTTTGCGAGTAGGCACTTCGCGAGTAGTGGAACGCGCTCGGCGAGTCTAAGTAACATGAACTCCGCGGGCGTTTTCAGGTCCTTGCTAGACAGGGATGTCAAGTCAGATTCGGCATTGATGGCGAGTGGTAACTTTATTCATCGACCACCCTTTTCCAATGCATGTGTAAGTTCCTCGAATGAAATGATAGCTCCTACTTTGAGTTCGTGCAACGCGATTGCGGTCGGGTAGCACTCCTCGAAATTACGTACCGCAGCCGCCGCTTCCGCTGAGTAAATTGGGCGCATCTGGAGCCGGTGCGACATGCAGTCCACGAGGTGGTTGACGGCGGCGCGGCTTCGCGTGCTGCCACGCCGTAGCAAGCTTGCCCCGCGGATGCCAACTCCGTGTTCTGTATCATTTGCGTCTCCCGTCAAACGGCGGTATCCAGAGTCGCCATGAATGTCTACCTCGCCCGTTGGTGTCGTAACTGTATCCGTAAGAGGCTTTGGACATAATGCTAGCGCTCTGGCCACCGCGCACAGCCTCCGGACGTGGAAGTTCGCAGGCTCCTGAACTCGTTGGGGTGAGACGACGTATACCATGGGCTACACCTGCTTAGTGAGAGCATATGCCAATGCACCCCGCGGGCTGATGAACGTGTCTGTCACCGTGTTGGTACCGTTCTCTTCGGGCGCTGCTCCCGTCAGTTCGCGATGTTGGATAGCTCTCGGCTGTTCAACATGCGCACCATGGTCCATAGTGACGTCTCCGCTCGGCAATTTGGAGTATGGCACAACACATGTGGTAGATGCATGCATGTTTAGTCCCACCAGGCCGGGAATTGGATATCGTATCGCAACGAAGCGTGGTGGGCCAGAACCGGCGGGACGACACGCTGTCCAAAGGCTCCTGACCGTGAGTGCACCAGCGCGGGGGACAGGGGCCGGCTGATGAATTGACGCGGACTCCGCGTGACCCCAGACCCAGATCCCCGACGTGCTATTTTTTCCCAACCCTCCTGTGTGTTGGGTCCTCGTTGTGAGTTCGCAGCGCCGCGCCCCAGCTCCTCCTCCTCCTCCTCCTCCTCGTCTCCTCTCCTCCTCCCCTTCTCCTCCTCTCACCTCCCTCTTCCCCTCTTCCTCACCCATACGCTTCGTGCCCCATAGGGAGCTCCACTGGAGGCCCCAGTGGCAAGGCCCGCATGCGTAATCGGGTCCATTCCGGCAGACCCCTCACATTTTTCGTGGCCCCTTGGGAAGCTCCACCGAGGGCCGCAATGGCAGGGCCCGCATGCGTAATCGGGTCCCTTTCGGCAGACCCTCACCCGTTCCTGGCCCTGAGGGAGCTCCACCGAAGGCCCCAGTGGCAGGGCCCGCATGCGTACTCGGTTCCATTTCGGCAGACCCCTCACACGTTTCGTGGCTCCTTAGGGAGCTCCGCCGAAGGCCCCAGTGGGGCACGGCCCGCATGCGTACTCGGGTTCATTCTGGCAAACCTTTCACACGCTTCGTGCCCCCTTAGGACGCTCCACTGGAGGCCCCAGTGGCAGGGCCCGCATGCGTACTCGGTTCCATTTCGGCAGAACCCTCACACATTTCCTGGCCCTGAGGGAGCTCCACCGAAGGCCCCAGTGGCAGGGCCCGCATGCGTACTCGGTTCCATTTCGGCAGACCCCTCACACGTTTCGTAGCCCCATAGGGAGCTCCACCGAAGGCCCCAATGGCAGGGCCCGCATGCGTACTCGGTTCCACTTCGGCAGACCCCTCACACGTTTCGTTGCCCCAGAGGGAGCTCCACCGAAGTCCCCAGTGGCAGGGCCCGCATGCGTAGTCGGGTATATGTCTGCACACCCCTCACACGTTTCCTGGCCCTACGGGAGCTCCACCGAAGTCCCCAGTGGCAGGGCCCGCATGCGTACTCGGTTCCATTTCGGCAGACCCCTCACACGTTTCGTGGCCCCAGAGGGAGCTCCACCGAAGGCCCCAGTGGCAGGGCCCTCACACGTTTCCTGGCCCTACGGGAGCTCCACCGAAGTCCCCAGTGGCAGGGCCCGCATGCGTACTCGGTTCCACTTCGGCAGACCCCTCAAACGTTTCGTGGCCCCAGAGGGAGCCACACCGAAGGCCCCAGTGGCAGGGCCCGCATGCGTAGTCAGGTATATGTCTGCACACCCCTCACACGTTTCCTGGCCCTACGGGAGCTCCACCGAAGGCCCCAGTGGCAGGGCCCGCATGCGTACTCGGTTCCATTTCGGCAGACCCCTCACACGTTTCCTGGCCCTCCGGGAGCTCCACCGAAGGCCCCAGTGGCAAGGCCCGCATGCGTACTCGGTTCCATTTCGGCAGACCCCTCACACGTTTCGACACCCCCTCAACGACTTATTGTGCATCGATCGGTCTCGTTGATAGTTTCCACGCGTGTAGGATGGGTTGGGTTCTTCGCCAGGGTAATATCATCACGTCCACCCGCAGAGGTCTCTACCCATTCCAAGGGACCCGATGTTCATCCTGAATCGTGTTTGGACGGTCCCGAGGTCCAGTAGAAGCCGAACATAGCGAAAGACCTTCCGTCGTTAATCCCACCAGCCCTCTGGGCGTCGGTGGTTTAGAGCGTTTCCTCTTCCACCCCTCCTTCTTCCCCTTCGGGGAGGGGTTTACCCCTCCCCCTACCCCCTCCCCACTGACCTGGACAGGGGGGGCCGCGGGTAGTTAGAGCGTCCAAGAACGACCCCTGGGAGGGCTAAAATTCGACACCCTCACGAGGATCGTGCCCCCCAGGGGGGCGACGCTAAAAAATGCTTCCCCCTTCTGTGATCGATGTTCTCCAAGAGGGCCTCAAGAGACGTCTCGGACTCTCCTCTTGCGCCCTGCGCGCGGGCGGGCGGAGCGCCGCCCGCCCGCCCGCGAGGCCCAAGAGCCCACCAAAACGTTCGAAGATACCTCCAAGACGCCACCAGGGAAGAGGAAGAGGTGGAGGAGGAGGAGGAGGAGGAGGAGGAGGAGGAGGAGGGAGGAGGAGGAGAAGGCGGAGGAGAAGGAGGAAGAGGGGGAGAAGAACAGCTGCCGATCATCGGCGCTCTTCGTTCGAGTGCCTGGTGTAGGATGGGCTGGTGGGGATACGCGAAGCGTCAAGAATTTGTATTGACTCGAGGGAGCCTGGGGACCCCGCACGACACTCAGAAGGGACGCGCAATTCGGCGCAGTAACCTGCTGCGCTTTTGTCACCCGACCAATCCGAAACTCCGCCCCGCTGCTCCAGTCTGACTACCTCTCCCTGACATTTCTGCTCTACGTATCCTTGCTGGTCCTCTCTGCTCGCCTTCTCCTCCCCCATCTCTTTGTGAGTGACATCGGCGCTTACGCCCTCATCGAAGATCGTCACAAAGGCTGAACTGTCCTGCGTCACTGACCATTATGTTCTCCGGCTTGACATCTCTGTGGACAACGCCGACTTCGTCATGGCAGTAGGCCAATCCTTCCAGCACCTGCTTTGGAGACGCTTGCGGGGGATACTAGTGCCTGGAGCGTGCCTGGCTTTAGCTGCCGTCACACACCAACCCACTTCCCCGCCTACTCACTCAATATTTTAACACAGTGCCCCACCACAATACACCTTACCACACCTCGATACACCTCCGAAATATAGGTGCGCCTACAGTGCGTATGCGTAAACATGCGACTTTCTGCTTGTAGTTGCACACGCACACACACACCGCACACATACGCTGAGAGCATTTTTTTATCCTATCACCCTGGGGCTTATCATGCACCGACAAATTCAGATGCCGTCTTACGGCCCCGCAAACAGTGCTTGCGCGAGCCCGCAGCCCGCCAGGACCAGACCCCGAAGCGCGGCAACCATCACTCCGCGCTTTGGCCGACCTCTGGCCTGGGGTCCACCATCCTGGCCGCTCTGGCGGCCCTGCCTCGCTCCTGCGCCTCAGCAGCGCTGGCAAAGCCGAAGGAGCCCAGGGCTCCCTCAAGCCCTGGGCGAAACAGCCTCCCTGGGGCAGGCGGGGCGGGTGCCCGTTCCCGCACCTCTGGGGGCTCCACTGCGGGGGCTCTGGAGCCGACAGGGGCCACAAATTCCTCCCTGCCCTCAGGGCCCGCGACCGTGCCGAGCGCCTCGGCCCACCTGGCACGGGTGGCCGCTGTGGGCCGCGCCAGCTGGTCGATCGGCTGCTTGGATTTCCCAGGCAAAAGCGATTTCGCGAAATCGTTACGCGCCTGCGCCCTTGAGCCCTTTTTGGCCCTGGGGTCGCCAGCGCGCTGGGCCCCGCTACAGGCCTTGGCTAGGCCTCTGTGGCAGTACTGGGGTTTCAAGCAATACGGAATCTTCCATGATCGGCGGCCGTCTGGGCAGATTTCTCAACGAACGTCCCAACAGAACACCGACAAATAGAACACTGGGAAGATACAACTGAGGTAAGACCAGCCTAGCCAGGTCGCGAAGGACCAAAACAGCCCCAGGACGGCCCACGAGAACCCAGGAGAACCCAAGAAGGCACATAGAGGTCCCGATGAGGCCCCCAGGGAGGCCACAGGCCGTCCAAATACGGCCAGGGATGGCCCCAAGATGGCCGCAAGATTCCCTGTTCGGCTCCAAAGGTGGCCTAACAAAATGGCCCCCCAAAACGCAGCATACCCGGATTTCTCGTGAACTCGTGTGAGGAAACTGGCACACACAGACACATTCACGCAAAGTCGCCTTGTCGGCACTCAAGACTCCAACAGCAATAACCACAATCATTTAAATTTCGTTCGCTCTTATCTGCTCGTGCGCCAATCAACATGCACATCCAAAACCCTCCATACTCGCCCTCTTTGCCTTCGATCATACCCCCTTGAGGTATATCGTCCTTACCCGCCACGCGTAGTTGGCGCAGCCCCTAAAACAGGTGCAGGGAGACAGGAAAACACAAGCAGCAGGGAGGAAAGGAGTGCGGCAGGGGAGGGATGGGGGAAGGGGCAGTGGGGGAGGGAAACGAATGGCGCACGACAGAGGGACAAGAGGGGCGTTCGGAGCAGGAAGACGAGCGACAGATCCACACTGGAACGTCGGGCGGGCGGGCCATAACAGGCGGGTCGGGCGTGCGGGCCCGGCTGGCCATGTCGAGCAGGCGGATCGCTGAAGCGTCAGCTCTACCCGAGTTGCGCGGAAGTCTGTAGCGATAGCGTGACTCCCAAGTGCAACGTGAGGCAGTCAAGAACGAGAGCGTGATTCCTTAGCGTCGAGGGTGCGGCGTCTGCATCAATTGCGAGGGCGTCCCATTTGAGAGCGCGATTCCTGGATACATTGCGAGGAAATCCCTTGCTAGAGCGTGAATTGGCATAAAAGGGGGGTAAGCCGGGGACCATGGGCACACTCTGAGGCCCAAGACTTCCCCTTGTAAAAGACCTGCAGCGAACCCCAGGAGGGACACTTCAATCAAAAACGCAATGGGCACAAGGGGGGGATCGACAATACCCCATGTGGAGGATCTACCTTCCTTCCATGCAACGTGTGAGTGGCGTAGCCAGCAAAACAGAAAGACGAGCAATAATCCAAAAAAGGAGAGGGCGAGGAGGAAGGGAGTGGGGGAAGGGAGGGGGAGGGAAGGGGGCAAGAGGGAGAGAGGGAGAAGATGGAGGACGAGAAGAATCAGCAAGAGGGGATGGAACGAACATCTCAAGCGAGAGCGCGGTTCCTGTGTAAATCCTGGGGGGGGGGTCCCGAGCGAGAGCGCGACTCCTGAGCAACGAGCACGCGATTCGTGAATATGTTAGCCAACGTGGACCAAAAACTGCGAGCCTCCGTGGTGCAAACTAGATGGTGCAATCTACGTGGCAATACGTGTGGTGCAAACTATGTGGTGCAAAGCAATAGGACGCAAATCACCGCAAATAAAGCAAAGCAGCGCACAGCAACGCAAATCAACGCAGTGTGATTTCCCAACAGAGCAAAACAGCGAACCAATGCGAAGCACCGCAAAGCGATGCGAGCCAATGCAATGCAGCACAACGAACTGTGAAGCAAGGCGGAGCACGACAAGGCAATGCAACGCAAAAAATATGAGGCCCATCCCGATGTCCGACAGCAGCATGTTTTGAGCCGAGGTGGCTCGTCAGAGAGTTCGCCCGGCCTCCTGCTCCTGATCCGCCTGCGCCTTCGGCGTCGTCGTCGAGCTTTTCGGCGTCGTCGCCGCCGCCCTCCTCCTCCGCATCCATGGTATTATCCTTCTCTCCTTCTCGCCTTCGTCCTCCCCCCTTCCGCTGCACCTCCTCCCTCTCGTCATCCCCCTCGTCTCTTCCACCGGCTCTTCCTCCTCCCCCTCCTCCTCCTCGCCCCCGTCATCCTCCTCATCCTGATCATCCTGGTCCTCTCCCCCTCCTCCACCTCCTTCTCTTCCTCCTCCTCCTTCTCCTTCTGTACCTCCCCATTTCGTTCCTCAGTCGCCCCCTCCTCATACGAACCCTCCTCATCCTCATGATGACATTCCTCCTCGACGTGTCCCTCCTTGTCCTCCTCCTCCTCCTCTTCCTCCTCCTCCTCCTCCTCCTCCTCCTCCTCTACTTCCCCATCACACTCCTCTGATGTTGTTTCTCCTCCTGCTCCTCCTCCTGTTCGCCGCGCTCCTCCTTGTATTCCTCGTTTTCCTCCTCGTGTTCCGCGACCTCCTCCTCCTCTTTGCAGTGTTCCTTTTCTTCCTCCTGCTCCTGTTCCCCAACCTCCTCCTCCTCCTCCTTCTTCCTCCTCGCCGTCACATTCCTCCTCATCCTCCCCCGCCTCGTCCTGCCCGTTATTTTCCTGCTCCTCCTCCTTCTCCTCCCCCTCCTCCTCCTTCCCCTTCTCCTCCTCGTCCCTGCTTTCTCCGCCATGCCAAGGACGCCTTCGCACTCTCGATGCCGCTTCCAGGAGACATCCTCTCCATGGATGCCCTCGAACACGTAGTCTGGGCCGTCCCGTATCCCTCGTCGATAATTCCTGTTTCCTCCTCGCTTCCTCCTGCCCCATCCCGCCTCCTCCCTGCTCGTCTCGCTCTGGACCGAAACGTCCCCACCCTAAGGAACCCCTGGCATGTACCAAGGAATCGCGCTCGCGCGTCAGCGCTAGCTACCTCCTCCGTCGAGACTGGGGCGCCCAGACCCCTCCCAAAGCACAGCTCGACAACAAAAAGGATCATAACATGCTTCGCTTGGGTCTGACCCCTCCTCCCTCCTCCCTCCTCCCGTTCGGAGCCCCTACTCCCACCAGCCCTCTGGGCGTAGGTGGTCTAGCCAGATCTTGACGGGGGGGCCGCGAGTCCTCAAAAGGCCCTTTGTCGTTCAAGATGGCGCCACGAGGGCATCCGATGCTCCAAGATGGCCTCCCAAAGGGTTCCAGGTAGCGCAAGATCGCTCAAGTTGATGGCCCACTAGAGCTCCACGGTGCCCCCAAGACGGCCCCCAAACCGCCCAAGAGCGCCCCAAGAGCGTCCCAAGATGCTATTGTGATGGTCCAGAAAGGGGGGACTAAACGTTAGTAACCCCTTCTTTTCACCGACGCCCTCTGCGACAGCCCCAAAGAGGCCCTCCAGGGCTCCCAAGAGGCCCCCAAGAGAGCCCCAAGAGAGCTCCAAGAGGGCCCTAAGAGGACCCCAAGAGCGCCCCGAGACCCCCCCAAAAACTCCAAGATAATTCCGAACCCTAAAATGACGCAAAAGAGTTCAAGAGGGGCCCAAGACGCTTTCCAAGGCCCCTCCCTTGCTCCCAGAGATCTCTTTGTTCACCCTGGTTGCTCGCTTTGTTTAACTGGATGCGTCTCTTCGTCATTTCCCGTCGGCTCTCAAGGTCAGGGTCTCTGAATGGGCTGGTGGGGGTACTTTTTGGTCTGCGGGCTCGCGAAGCACGTCGAAAGCCGTCAGGACACTAGTCGGGCCGCGATTAGGCAACAAGAAAAGAGAGGCAAGCGAAGCGAGCGCGCGGGCAACCACTCAGAAGAAGAGCCAGAAACGAAACTCCCAACCCGGTGGCGTGGAGATCCCGGTGGCGACCAGCAAGTCAGCGCAGCCAAAATGGCGCGGCGGCGCGACCATAAACACGCAAAAGTCAATCACTCGGTGTGAATCGGCACAAGGCACCGTCAAAGACGATCAGGGCCGACAGGCACACCCGGACGACGTCCGTGCTGTAGGCGACACAGCTGCATCGCGTCAGCGCAAGAGTGAACAGGGGCAACCTCGTCACAGATAGGACTGCAAACGGCAGTACCTCTTGTTTGTACAGCAGTGGCACATGTCGAAAGCGAAGTCCTTGCAGGAGAAAGCAGCCGACGGGCGCACCGAACCACACATGCCGAAGTCCAAGCACCGTGGAGGCTGTCTCAGGCGAAATGGGCCAGACCACGTCTCGCCCAGCATCTCGGAGCTCCGATGTGCAAGACTATTTTAAGCGAAACGGGCAAGACCTCCTTGCGCGCATTTTCTCAGAGCCCCGAGTTGCGAGGATGTCTCATGCGACACAGGCTGGA